TTATTATTATTATTATTATTATTATTATTATTATTATTATTATTATTATTATTATTATTATTATTATTATTATTATTATTATTATTATTATTATTATTATTAAATATGGAAGGAGAAATATACACTAGGTTAGTGTGATGAGTTTTGATAGGTATTGTTGGTTGTTTTGTTTTTATTCCATTCTTATTCTTATTTTGAAAAAGGGACAAAGGAGCAGCACAGTTGAAATTAACTATAAATTTTCATAGTTAAATTAAATCCTCCTTCCTTTCTTAATGGGTGTGGTTATTTATGTTGGGATTAAATTAATTAAATTCTTAATGCTGATGTACATATTATTTCATTAATGATCTACCCCAATAAAAATAGAACACCTCCACCCCATTTTTTGCCCTGCTATTCAGAGATATACTGTACTGTTTGACAACACAAACATTCTAATTTTTGCCATCATAATTTACACATTTTATAGGCTTTCCTCCAAGAATTTCTATAATCCTCACCAAGACTGGAGATGTTTACCACAATTGTGGCATGACTTCAATATTTTGATCAGCCTAAACACTGAAGTGAACAGGGGACGTTATTTCCAAAATGCTATTTCTTAAGACAAGACCAAATGACCCAGAAATAATTCAGCATCTCTTATACCATTTTTCCCTCTTTGCTTTCAAGTTTGTCATTCCTAGTCAGTTCTTCCCTCTTGCAAATACTATTGAATGCTTGTGGCAGGTTACGATTTAGTGATGTAATTTACATGAGGATTACAAAACCGTTTCCATGAAATAGTGGTGTTTCTTGAGTCCAAAGGCAGAGTTAAGAAACAATACTTAACAGGTTTTGAAATGGCATTCCTGTTTATATATGATCTCAAGCCCCCAATGGTAAAATAGAACTATACACAATGATCAGACTCCCATATACTAACCCAATACTAGTTTCAAGTACATCACAGTCCAACAAGAAAAATGCTGTATATCCGAATCATAAACCGATTCTATTTTCATTCAGAATCTGTGGATTTCCCCAGTAAATTTCTCTTCTACTCAACAGCTAAGGAGAACCATACAGTAACTGTTCTTATTTTTAGTGGTACATAAAGGAAACTGAAGATGAGCTTCTTAAGACGGAGATGGTTAAATTGCCATAGTTGCTAAAAGAGCAGCTCACTGGTGAGCAGTTAGCCACCCCTTTGTGGTCCTTTAAGGGCAGAGTCAAACTCCTCCCCATCTTTTACAATCTGGCCAGCAGGCTCAGTTTGCTAAGCTTCTTCTTAGGAGCAGCAGAATACCCTTCAAATGTAGTACATAGAGGCTATTTCTCATACTGGAGCCTGGAGCCTTGTAATGGATGATGGAGAGAAGTCACAACATTTTGCATTTTTTTCCTTCTGCCAATAAATGGCAGCATCATAGAGAGCTTTGCAAAACAGGTCAAAGCCTTGCATCTGTCCATGAATGGATTACAAACCATGCTTTAAAACTAACTTGATAAATCTAAGGTTTATTCCACAATCTAGTCAACTTGTTCCTAAGGGTGTTCTTCCTATCTTTCTGGTAGTAGTCTGAGTTACTGAACAGCTGCGGGGATGTGATTTAATCAGATGAGCAATTTAATCCTCGTTTTGAAACAGAACAGATTTTGCTGGTGTAGATCAATGTTTGCTGTTTCCAGAACATTAGAGCCTAACTGAGATTCCATCTATCCTCCCTTTTCTGTATTTAATCATGTAGCAATATCCGCACACTTTCTAATATGTTCTGCCCATTTATTTATCTGAAATCCTAATGTGTTCTTTAATATATCATCCAAATGATTTTTCTTTTGCCCTTTAAGAAATTACCATCCACTGTCTTTACATCTTCTCATTTTATATAAGGTACAGAGCAAAAAATCAAAGTAGA